TTTTATGTAGTGTGTGTATGTATGTGTGTGTGTGTGTGTGTGTGTGTGTGTGTGTGTGTATACACACACTTTTTTATGTAGTCTTTATAACAACCCTGAAATAAGAATTATTATTATCCCCATTTCACAGAACAGAAAACTGAGACCCAGGAAAAGGGGGAGCTGATAAGTGGCAGAGTCAGAATTCAATTCCAGGTCGTCTGGCTCTTGAATCTGTACTCTTAACTACAACTTATACTCCTTCTCCATCACCCCTTACATTTAAGCATCCACCAAGTCCTGATGATTCTATCTCTTTAATATGTCTTAAATATGCCCACTTCTCCTTATCCCTGTTACTACTACTTCACTGATCCAAATCATCATCTTTTGCCTAGACAATTACAGCATCTCCCATCTTTTCTCTTTGTCTCTAGTCTTTATTCTTTCTCCACATGCCATGGAACTCCCCTGCATAAAACCTTTCTATTAAATAGCAAAATAAATAGATGGATAGATTTGTGATGAAGTATAGTAAAATATTAATGGTACAATCTACCATTTAAAATTTCCTGTATCTTTGAAAATTTTTATAATAAGATTTAAAGAAACCCTTATATAATTCCCATTGCTCTTAGGATAAAAGTTCAAACTTCCTACCATTGTTTAGCAGATTCTTCCTGGCCTGGCCCCTGATTAATTCTCCAGCCTCGTCTTTAGTTATTCTCCCTGATTATCCCCTCCTTGGCCCCTATGTCTCAGCCATTATGAATGTGTTTCAGTTCTGTGAATATTCCATGCTCTCTCTTGCTTTTGGAACAACACAAACTGTTCCATCTGTCTGGAACATGCCTCTTCTTTCTCACTATCCTGGTTAACTCCTTCTGGTCCTTAAATCTCTTCTGAAAGGGAGTTTATTCTGAGAAGCTTTCCCTGATTTCTCCCAGACTAGGTTAGATTCACCTGCTGGGTATTCCTACACACACTACTTACTTATATATACTAACACTCATACTACATTATAAAAACCATTTTTCTACCACTGCAACTAAATATGAGCTTCATGACAGCATGGATAAAGTCATTCTTCTTTACCAACTAGCATGTAAGAACAGCTACTAGAACAGTATCTCACACATAGTAGTTAATCCATAAATATTTTCCATAAATATTTTGAATGAATGAATAAGTAAATGGCCAAATGAATTATATCCCCAATACCTAACACAGTTTTTGATAAATAGCTACTGATTGACATGTTCCCGCTTTTCAATAATCTCATCCTCATCTAGCTCATGGACAATACAAATACTTCTCTCTGAATTTTTGTCTATTATTTCACTGTATAATAAAGATGTTGGCCTGAATTACACCTGGCAGTAATTACCTCAAATCGGGGTACATCCATTTCAATTTGTCCTCTTAGCAATGGGGTTTGTCTGGGAGTCTCACGGATCATCACACTCCATCTGAAATTAAGTTCAAAGACAGACATTTAGGACTCTGTTTCATCACAGGCTGGCATCAGTGCTTCACATGCTAAAAAAGAGGTCAAAATGTTTATGTGTTGGGTAGAGATGGATTTTAGGGATGGCAAAGCTATCTCAGGTCACCTGATCTCAAGGTATACCACAAGAGGGGACACTGCTTCATGACTTCTCTAGGACAGTATGATGAAAGGAATTCCACTACAAGGTTCTCAGAGAGCAGTGCTTCTCAACCAGAGGTAGCTATCAAGATCATCTGAGGTGCTTTTATAAAATACATATACCAGGGCCTTACTCAAGACCTACTGAATAGTAATCTTTGTGGTAGGATGGAGCTTAGTATCTTGAGAAAGCTCCCCAGAATATCCTTATGGGCAGTCATAAATCAAATACTATGCCTTAGCATAGGAAGTCTTTCTTCTCAGAAGATAGATCACAATCCCTCTTCTCTAGAGCAGAGAAATCTAGGTCAATTGTTTATGAATCCTCATTTTTTTAGTTTCTTTGAGAACCTGATGAAGCTACAAACTAGTTTTTATAACATTTTAGAATAGAATAGAAAGATGAAAACTCCTCAGGAAAAATATGCTTACATAGATAATTGACTATGCAATTTGAAGAAGGTTCACAGAACCCTTTAAATTTACCCATGGGGCTCTTGCTCTAGGATATTTTAAGTTGATGAGATACTTTATTGACATTCAAAGGATACATGCTAGACCCTGGCTTCCTAATAGTCAAGGCCCCCTGCCCCACCCAAACTGCCCTGCACTGAAGCCAGAAACACCATGAAGAAGGTTAGAGCGTTCCTGATTGAGATAATATAACTAGGAGTAACTGGTTTGCAACTGGAAGAGGCACAATTGCCTGATCTTTCAGCTACTCACCTGTCTAGGATCCTCACACTAGCCTGCTCCACTCTGTTGAGGATGTTCAGAGGTGACTTGTTTTTGTTCCAGAATGCACCCCAGCCTAGGACACGGGCCAGATCATTGCCGGTTCCAAGAGGGATGACTGCCAGCTGACACTGCAAGACCAAAACCAGGCACCCTTTTCAGACAGTCCTACCAATATTCACTTATAAAAGAACCCAGATGATGCTCTTTGGGAAAGATTGTGGTCTCAAAGCTAGTGGCAATAAAGGACTTCTGATTCTAGGAAGTGTGATAGGAAGATATTTGAAGTGAAATTTTCCCTATGGAGTTAGGCCCCACTCCTGGCCATACAGAACCTACTTAGTAAAGGGAAAAGTTGCTGGAATATATCAATATTTATAGCCATGTTTATACAATAGAAATATAGCCACAGATTTCTATCTAGGCTGGGCCAAAGAAGCCAGGTGCCTCCAGAGACAAAGCTGCTGGATTCAGAACTGCAGAGAGCAGCTTAGGGAAAGGAGGGTGAGAGAGAGGAAAGTTTCTACTACTCTTGAAACTCAGGGAAGAGAATCAATTGACTTAGGAGGGGTAGGAAATTAGGGGCTGAACATTGCCTGAGGCCACTTCTTTTTTGCTTGTTCTCCTCCTCTTCAATTATTCACTTTGGAGGTTGAGGAATAGAACACTCAATTTTTCCCTGCTAACTCCCTCATTTCTCCTTCCACAGATAGAAAACCAGAAAAACAGTCTAGGTGAGCAGGCTTATATTGGGAATCTACTAGTCAGGATGAGTAGGAAACCAGTGGAAAACATGTATTTTACAGACAAGGAGAGTGAAGACCAGGGACTTCTTGGGATGAGAAGCTCCAAATCCCAGTCTCTCTAGAATGGCTAAATCAAGTCAGCTAGAAACTCACCCTTTCATGTAATTCAAAGGCATCAATCAGAGATAACACCCAGCTCACACTGCCATCTCCACCACAAACTACAATGCGAAAGCGAGCAAAGTTCTTGAACATGGACAGCCTGGAAGGAAAGGGAGAAAAGGGAGTCATTTCATGAACTTCTGGGTTTTACAATTCTTTCCTACAATGTTCCAGGCCCAAGGGCTGCTGCTTCTGCACCCTACTACTAGGCTACTTGCCTTTTGTCCCTTAGTCCCTATCTCTCTGTGTACCGAATATCATAGGCAATGCTCTCACAGGCAGTCCTTGAGATCAGACATTGCCTCAACCCACACTATTCTGTGCCTAACCTTGCTCTGAAAGCTACTAGTACCTAGCAAAAGCTACTTGCTGAGGTCTAGGAATTTTGCCTTGCATGGTGGTCAGTGGGCTGATAGAAACCAGGACTGAACAGTCAGTTGTCCCTGTAGTAGAGATATATCTATTTGACTCCAGGAAAAAGAATGAGCGAGTGACAGGAAAAGTGAATAGCAATATTCATTTGCCTCCTCCTCTGGGGTCAGGAGACATAGCTATACCTCTTCTAACCAAAAAAGGTGGAACAAATCTGAGAGAAGAACATGGGCTTGAAAGAATTTCTGGGAGAGGGCTAAAAGTCCTCCAACCAGCCAATCCAAAATACTCTGGATTTATGTGTCTGTGTTTTGACTTGAGAAAATGGATCTTTCCTGCTCAGGTATTAGAACTAATTCAAGAAAGCCTACCCTAGTCTAGAATGTATAGAAGGCACAGTCCCTTCTATATACCCCCTATACGCCTTACCCCATGCTTACCCGGCTTCAGGTCCACCCTTCACCAGGTCAAACACTTGAGACGGGTTAAGGTATTGCTTAAATTTTCGGAGGAAGACAATCCCTTGGTGATCGCCACTTTTGGAGTTGATGAAGATGAGAAGGGGACATGAACAGGCTGATGACCAATCAAGATTCCAGAAGTCTGAAGATACTACTAATTGGCCTGATAGATGAATAAAATAAAAAGAAAAAGAAGGAAAAAAGACCAGAGCCATTGAAATAAAAACAAGACATGACTTAACATCAAGTTTTGCAATGATTTTTAAAATAAAACAGTTTTATTGAGGTATAATTGATATACAAAGAACTGCACATATTAATGTGTACAATTTAATGAGTTTTGACATATGCAAACACCCATGATACCATCACCACAATCAAAGAAATAGACATATACAGTATCTTCCAGAGTTTTCTTATTCTCTAGACTCCTGAGATAGAGGAACAAATCGGAAATCAGTATAAATCCTAAGTTGCTCTCATTGAAAAACAAACAACAATAAAAGAAAAAACCAGTCTTTGCCCAGCTGTGGCCAGGCAAGCAACATTTGCTGAGCAACTACTATATTCTAATCATCATGCTAGATACTGCTAGGAATATAGCCCTTGCCCTCAGGCTGGGGAGACAGGCTCATACACAAGAGTATGTTGGAACACAAGGAATAAAGAAATCGGTGCCACAACCAAGGATTAATAAAATACTGAGGGGAAACTGAGTAAAGAGAAGGTTGAGGGCCCAGGAGGAGGATCAGCATACCAAATAGTCCTCTCTCTGCCTGGGACAGCTTGGTTCTCACAGTGAGAAGATACCAGTTCAGGAGAGATGGGAGGAAAGGCTGCCTTTTAGCCAAGAGCTAATGATAGAACATCAATATGGGTTGAAGCAGGGAGCTTTAATCAGTCCTCTAAGGCTCTGACAGAGCAATCCAAGTTATCAAACCAACTTTCAGGGGAAACAAGACTATAGGGAAATTATCTAAAGAGTCTTTTAATAATTTCCAACACTGAAGTTCCCCATAGAGAAGTGTAGTTATGGCAGTCTAAATTGCCATAGCCTGCTAGTTCGTGTTGAGCTTTAGATCCTATTGGCAGAGAGAGAGGCAGAGAGCAATGGTCCCCTAGGAGATGCTAGACAAATTGTGAGCATCCAAACCTGTGAACTTGTGGCTTTCCAGGGATGACGCAGCAAAAATAAATGCAAAAAGCAAAAGGCATGTGGCTTGCTCCTGACTGGTGTGGGCCAGGGGTTAGGTTGAGCTGTCTCATTTGTTATAGCCTGGGTGAAAGGGAACCTGAAGGAAGACTGCTGACTTGAGCAGATTTTATGGCCCTTTTGCCTGGAAAAATCTAAAGCAGTCTTCCTCTATGGGCCAGTTTCTAAGCCAGCTAAGCAGTCATGCACCAAATTTCCAGGGCTTGCCAGGACTCACAGCTAAGGAGAATCTGCTATGTACCTTCAGTAGCATAGCTTAAAAGTAGTTCCTCTCCCTGAACATATTATGCAAAAGTAGTATCACCATTTTCAACATTTTTTAAAGAAAAGGTAATATGTTAACTCATGGTAGTTAAGACATATTAATTCATTTACTCAACAAATATGTATTGAGGACATTTTCTGTGCCTGTCCTTGTTATGTTCTGAGAATACAGTGGTGGACAAGATAGAAGCAGTCTTTGCTCTCGTGGATAAGAGGAGGGATAAGAATATATATTTATATTTACTAGTATATACATGAAAGTATTCAATAAAGTAATGAAAGTAGTTAACTGTGAGTGGAGATGGGATGTGGCTGTAGGAGATTGAGAAGATCAGAGGAAGGATAGCAGAAAGACTTTTTACTAAATATGTGTATATGTGTGTTTCTATTAAAAATATTTGATACATGTGGATATATTAACTAGTCAAGAATTAAATTTAGAATTAGGAAAAATAATTATAATAATGCTATCTGTAAGATAAATAGCCTTGAGGGTATAACTGAAATTATTTATAGATCTATTTGACATCTTGGAGCATGGGCTGCCTTCTGCAATGTAATTCTACAAGATAATGTAGCCGTGTGCCACATCTGGTTGCCCCCCCCCAGGTTTATTCACTAACCTAGAGCAAACATCTTAACTTCTTTGAATGCTTATTTCTCTATATGTACAATAGAATCAATTTGTAATAACTAATAAAATAATTCTGGGTGGGGATGGAAAGCTGCTAGATAAAGAGAAAATTATATAATTAAGGCAACTTGAACTTCAGTGTCAAACCTAATTTGGTCACAGATGGGAAGACAGAGGGAAGCTGTGCTGGCAGGAAGTCATTCCCAGGAGAATACAAGGGCAGCCTCATTTAACATTTCCTATATAGTCAGAGGACATCTGAATTTGAGCAAGGCCAACTTTGTCAAGAGAATCTTGTGAACAAGGTGACAAAAACGGTTGGTGTTGTGGGTTGAAATGTAGCAATGTTAGGCAGATTCATAACCAGGTAAATAATCGTGCTCACTGGTTGATTTTGAATAGGTTGATGTTAATTATAAGAGAGTGTCTTGTATTAGTTAATAATTTTAATCAATTCACATGAAAACACAGAAAGCTACCTTGCCAACTTTGAACTATACAAAATTAGAGAGAGATCTACTGGATGTGTGAAT